GCTGGAAGAGCAGATGGGCTGGAGTCTCTGCTGGCACCAATAATCTTCCAAGAACTATTCTAGGATGCAATTCACCGTGGCTCGCTTGGTAAAGACGGATCTCCTGGCTGAGCTGCTTTGGCCTAACAATGAACTGGGTGCAATTAACCGGAGCCTTCCTCCCTCTCCTGCAGCTCCCCTCCAGCACGGCCCCGCTCTCTGTGGGCACCGGCCCCGCAGGGCGCAGGCTCCACCGGGGCTGCGCGCGTGCCCTGTGTTTGAAGGGGAGCCTGGGCGCAGGGACAGACCCGACCCCGACCTGCAGGCCCCTGTGCAGTGGTGGGCACTTGTCTCCCCCAGGAACCTGCTGGAGAGGGACAGGGAGCAGAGACACTCCTGCCTTTGTCCTTCTCACTGATGGCCAGTATGGAAGAGGACGGGTGCATGTCTCCCGCGTCCCCTCTGAGCAGCATCACCAGCAGCCCCTCGGACAGACGGCTATCTGGCATCTTCCTGCTGGCAGGTTATTTTCTGCAGATCATCCTGCCCACGTCAGGTGCCAGGTTTTCCCGGCCATCAGTAGAAAGTCCACAGCCACAGCCAAACCTCAGTCATTCTGACTTTGGTCGCCTACCTACCCCAAAACAGAAAACACCTTCAGAGATACGCGTTGGCCTCCAGTACATTTTTTCTAAAACAGGCATTTCTTACAACAGCAGCAGTATCACAATAGATCCTACACAATATTAAAAAAAAAAAAAAAGGTCAGAGTTTTAAAATAAGAATCAGCCACACAGACACCCCTTTCACCAAACCCAAACCTTTGGTATCTTCCAACAGAACTGGCACACAAGGCCAGAGCTGAAAAGGGCAGAGAGGACCCTGAAACTACATACAACAAAATAACTAATTGAGAGTGAAATTTCAATAAAATTTCTAGCAGAAGCCCATGGCTGGCAATATCCGTGTCCAGGCCTGGAGTCCCTATGCCAGTGCTGACTTCAAAGCTAGACTTCAAATGTTGTTGTCAAAACTCTCTGCCGTCCTCCGTTCTGGATCTGCTGCAACTTGGGGCTAGGAGATGCTAGGAGAGATGAAAACCTGTGTGATCTCAAAGTTTATCTGACTTTGAATTAGCTGAACGTGAAACAATTACAAAAAAAAGTATCCACTTGAGTTTCCTCCTGATAGGCAGTTATGTGCTTTAGGAGTTTTATGCAGAGCCTAGATTCATGCTATGTCACGGACTTAGTCTGGGCGAGGACGAGGATCTGTGCCCATCCAGATCTGTGCCAAGGGAAAGCCTGCTGCGTGGGCGAGCGCTCCCACTGCCTGCGCTCTCCCCATGCACAGGTCCCTCGCTGTGCGCAGTGCCCTGCTGCGGTTTGGGAAGCCCACACTGACCTCATGGAGCCGGTGAGCAGATCCAGGGCCCTTTCCTTCTTCTGCACCTAGCCAGCATCGCTGCCACCCACGCGTCGGTGTTAAC